ACAAATATTTCGAATTGAATAAATTTAGAGCATTCACAATATTTCGCCAATGTATAACAAGCCTTATGGCCTTACTATTTCGTTACTACCGTTTCGTTACGTACATTTTTTTTGAGAAATACTCATGTATTTTTTTAACCCGGTCGATATCAAATGCGTTTGATGTAAAATCACACTACGCTCCCTTATTTGTATGGTCTATCACTCCTGAATACCTCAGGCACTGAGTTAAACCAGAGTAAATACAAAGCTCGGGCGTTTCTATGAAGATGACCTACTCATTTGTATTTACTCTGGTTAAGCGCTTAGTAAAAACAATCTATTTTTAAAAACTGAGCTAAATGAAGAGTGTTATCAAAATACGATTGCTGGAACAGAACAAACTTTCAACTAAAGGTTATCTAGGTATTTAACTTTTCGAATGGGTTTGGTTTAATTCTTATCATGAGCGATAGCTTCTTGGGAAAGTTTAAAGATTTGCATACAAAGGTACGTGTTTTTGTGAACATATAAAAATCCTATTTGGCAACTAAAATTACTTAGCTCCTAATCAAAACTTACCAAATAATACTATAACTGCAAAGCAAAACAAAGAGGAGAAAGAAGGAAAAGGCTGCATTAAAACGAGTCATTATGGTACGAAATGGCGTATAATATTCTTGCACATCCTCACTGCAAATTCTCTACCCACAGTTTGCCGTGCCCTCGGCATCCCCTCCCGAGTGGTGTCAAACCTGGTGTCAGCCCACGACGCTAACAAATCCCTGACAGTCGACAAGTACTACACGGAAACCATGGAAGAGCTGGACTTCGACCCCAACAATCCTTCTGGAGCTGACTCCATCTGGAATTACCACGTGTGGAACGATGTATGGATGGCCAGGCCTGACCTTCCTCCAGGTAATCTTTTATTCTTTGTATTTCTTGAATCTAAAACTAAGCGAGACTCACGAACCCTTTTCAAAAATCGGTTAGAAATTCTACTATCGTTTCAACTAAATGCCATCCACTGCTGGAAAAAGGCATCCCCCAAGGGATTTCCACAACGATCGGTTCAGCGCTGCCCGCATCTACGTGCTTTATGCGACCTTTACCAGATCGTCAGTCCACGGCACGGCAGAGAATTCTATTAGTCATATTATACTGACTGGTGCAGCTGATATCATCATCATCATTTCAGCCATAGGACGTTCACTGCTGAACTTTTGCCTCCCTAAATGATTTCCATATTGCCTGGTTGGTAGCGGTCTGCATCCAGCGCTTTCCTGAATCTTTCGTGGTCGTCGGCACACCATGTGAGTGGACGTTGCAGCAGCTGAAATTATTCTCAATTTCTCTTCTATGGTAATCTTGATCAGTTCCAAATTCTCAACTACTTCATCTTTAACAGGCTACGGCGGCTGGCAAGCCATCGACGCGACGCCCCAAGAGACATCATCAGGAATGTTCCAATGCGGGCCGGCGTCGCTTGAAGCCATCAAGCAAGGAGTCATCGGGGTGGGCTATGACGTTGAGTTCATGCTGGCGTCAGTCAACGCCGACCTGATGCGGTGGAGACACGACCCTGAGGCTGAAACTGGGTATTCTATGGTGGACTCCAATAACTTCCAGTGAGTATATTTTGGAACAGCACAATCTAGGTATTTTGTTTGTTTCTGTTCTTTGTATGATTCTTAGATGGATATGGAATTTCTTATTAATGGAACAATTGCGATCAACAAGTTTAATGACCGAGGTATATAACTGTCCATAAAACCATTCGATCTCACTCAGAACCACTGCAGAACGTTACACTAGGTACCGTCCGCCGTCTTCAGTTTCGTCAGCTGGAATTGTCTTTTGCAAACAATTTGGAGCCTTGGTTCCGCTCTATCGCCTCTCTACATCGCATTTTTTTTTAAATAAAACATAACATTTCCATATTATGACTATAGGACATCATTAGTCTATAGCAGTCCACTAAGAATGGTCAAAGGCTTCCCTCAATAAGCGCTATTTTTCCCTGTCTTCGGATTTTAGTATCCAGCTTCGGCAAATGTTATGGAATCTTTTTTCCAAACATATTTCTGTTTCACAGCATCGGCCGCATGGTCCTCACCAAGAAGCCGTACATCTTCGACCCCCTCGGCGACGAGGACCGGGAGGACATCACTGCGCAGTACAAGCACAGGGAGGGAACTGCTTCCGAGAGGCTGGCGCTCATGAATGGGGTCAGATACTCGGAGAGGGCGAAGAGGTTAGTTATTATTTCAAACTTCAGTATACAGGGTGGAATTTTGTAATGCCACCTGGAGGGAAAGTACCCTTAATACTGTAGATAGAAAATTTTACTCAAAGAAAACATTTCTTTATTTTTGAAAAGAAAGAGAAGTGATTTAAAAAAAATTTAAAATTTTTTCGAAAATTTATCACCGTACCGTACAATTTTCTGTAAATAATTACAATATTTTATGATTTCATGGTTTTTCTTTCATTTGATTTATCAAGTTTGTTTGACAGATTTCATCCTAATACTTAAAGTACTTATGTATTTTTTTTTTTTTCATTTTTTAGTTGGTTCGATTCCCGGGTGTAGCAAACAAATTCTTAGAAATGTTTGAATGCAGTTCTATTTCTTTTAAAAAATAAAGGAATGTTTTCTTTGAGTCATCATCATCATCATTTCAGCCATAGGACGTCCACTGCTGAACATAGGCCTCCCCAAATGCTTTCCACGTTGATCGATTGGTCGCGGCCTGCATCCAGCGCTTCCCTGCAGAGTAGGTAGATACTTTCCCTTCAGGTGGCATTACAAAATTCCACCCTGTATAGTTATTATCAAAAAGTTAAGACGGACTTAAGGTCGAATTTAGACCTGAACAAAGGTATAGACAGCGCTGAAAGACTGGAAATTTTGCAGAGACACCACAAAGATACCAAAATAAAGAATGAGCGATGTCAGTGATCTGAAGATACCTTGATATAAAAGATACATAAATTGCATAGGACTCATACATAGACGTCTCTTAGTTCAATGCGCGACAGCCTAAAGAAGGTACCTAGTTAGCAGTGGTTGCATGAAGAAAATGGGAGATAGAAGGCACATCATAGAAACATATTTTCGTCAAGCAGTAGACTCCATATTATGACTGATTCCGTACTGTTTTTTATGTAGAACAAGGCAGATATTTAACCGCAATAGTACCTGATGTTAAGGCGGTAATCATTTAATCATTGTATGCAAGTACCTCAGTTTGTATAGATAACACGCGCGGCCGCGTTGTATGTGTGAAGTACACATACAACGCGTCCGCGGCGGAGCGCAGCGCGGCGCAGTGTGATAACCGCCTAAGTGAGATGCAGTCTAGGTTGATAGATGTAAATGTGTCTGTCTTTTGTTTAACCAGGTATTACGCTGTGGCCAGTACCCTAAAGTCTGACGTCAAGTTCAACCTCAGAGACATCGATGCCGTGATGATCGGCAAGGAGTTCCGAGTGACGGTGGACGTCCAAAACGATGCTGAAGAGGTAAGTCTTAATACACTGATATGATTAATGCAAAAGTGTCTGAATTATGTTTGCTTTTTCGGTTTTATTGTTAGACCTTTGATTAAAATAAGAAGACAGGATGAGCGGTAAACGCTTACACATACAGAGCGAATTTATGAGTAGAAGATAGTTAGCTATACCTAACTTATAACGGGACTTTTTTCCCATCTCTCGTTCCCACCGCTGCAACTCCTGTGTATGCGGGATCTACAGTTTGTCCGCCAATAAAAACCCAACCAGTGAAGGTCAAGACTGTCCCGAGGGAAAGTTAAACTGTCATTGGACCCGCAACGAAATTAATCAGACGAACATAGGAGGAGTTCGAAGTTAAGGTTCGACTTCCCTCCAGTGCAAAGCGGATGACAGGTGACAAACGAAGGTTTTAGCTATAACATAGTCAACTAACCAAATATTTCTTAGCTAAAATTAAAATAACTTCATTCATGTCCAGGGCCGCAACATCAAAGCTTCGCTGACAGCCACCAGCGTCTTCTACAACGGAGTCAAATCAGATCTGATCAAGAAAGTGGAGGGAAAGATCTTCGTTGGACCACAAAAGAGTAAGTACCTAAATAATTATGAGTTGAATTTTTGAGAAAAGAAAAATAATTCCGGGAAAATCCATGTAGGCGAAGACTATGTACAGTAGACATAATATGACTATACTTTCATCAATTTATAGAGTCTATGGCAAGCGAGGCTGGAGGATCAGGATTTCGGAAAAAAAATGTCCTTTCTACAGTAGTGGTTGAAATGGATATATCACCGTAACATTGTGAATTTCGTCACATTACCTATAATCTGACGTAGTTAGATTACAATCTAACCTAACCTAACCCACTGTCACAATTTCGCGTTGACAGATATATCAGAAGCAGTTCAGTGCGGATCCAATTTTATTGTCGTCTCTAAGCTCATCATTACCTTAATGCCACTATAGGTCAGTCAGTACCAGTGTTTTTGAGACGACGAACGTCAGCGAGACTTCAGATATAACTGAAGCATGTATGCTCCGTCAAGTCATAATATGTCAATGTCACCCCTTTCGTGCTGCTCCCTTACCTTATGCACTGACTCGAGTCAAGCTATAGTCTGGTCCGGGAGCACGTAGAATTTTGTCCCCAAGCTACCCATCCTTATCGCTCGAGCGTAATTATATTGCTGTCGCGACTGTGAGACGGGCGCCCGCAGTGAGTGTGCGAGCGCGACAGCAACATAATTACGCTCGAGCGATAAGGATGGGTAGCTTGGGGTCATTGGACAAAATTCTACGTGCTCCCGGACCAGACTATATACCTATAACTTAGTGACACTAATCAAAACTCATTCAATCAATGGAGAGCTAGATATAGATACAAACTACAGCGGACTTTTGTTCCTTTACAGAGGAGCAGATCAGCATCCTGGTGACGGCAGACGACTACTTGCCCAAGTTGGTGGAATACTGCAACATGAAGATTTCGGCCATGGCTATTGTAGACGAGACCAAGCAGTCCTGGGCTGATGACGATGACTTCCAAGTGTTGAAGCCTAATATCACCATTAAGGTAATTTTCTACCATATTAAAACAGTTTAGTTCTTCTGAGCTATAATTTCTTCCTACCGAATGAAGGACATCTGTCTGGATAAAAATTGGCGAAATAGTGACGTCATCTGCTAATATAATAATTATTCGCAAAAAAAAATTCAATGAACACATTTCCGTCCCACCATTTACAACTCAACAAGAACACCCAGCCATAATCGGCCGCCAATAAAAATACAACCAGTAAAGATCAAGATTGTCCTAGGAAAGAGTTGTAACTGTCATTGGATCCGCAACGAAACTAGATCAGAAGGATGTAGGTTCCCCCTATATCGTTAAGGATCGACATCTGTGCCATGACCATGTTATAATATGAATGTCAAGATGATGGGATCACTTATTGTTTTGAACAGACGATGCTATCTTTTTTTGTACTCATTAACATATTTGTACCTACAAATGTAATTTTGGTACTTTCTTAGTCCAGTCAAGGTCAGTACTGATCCCGTTATTTTGACGCATGCACCTATGACCTATGCACTGTGTCATAAAAAGCCATAAAGGTATTTTTTCTTTAAGTAGGTTCTTAAAAGCCCTTTACGTGCGTTCCAATCTACCCTACATAACTCGTCAATCGCTCACCTGTTCCTCAGTTCAACGACGACCTGATCATCGACCAACCAGCCACCGCTGTCCTTTCGTTCCCGAACCCGCTGGATCGTTCGCTGTCCGGGTGCGAGTTCCGTGTCACGTCGTCCGGGATCGCCGGCCGGACGCTAAGGATCGCGGCGTCCGACGTTGGCCCTAAGGGAGTCGTGACCGCGGAGTTACCTGTACAGCCTAACGTAAGTAGACTTTTAAAATGATGTTTATTAGTAAGTAAACAATGTAGTATTTGTGATTAGTGATTGCTTCCCGAAGCACAAAGTCCCACTGGTGGACTTTGTGACAAAAACTAAAAAATCTGTGGCAATGTCATCAGTGGGTGACGTTAGGAATAGTCCAACATGCCCGGACGCTCTACGAATTTTAATGGTGCGTTCACACTGGGCGCACCATTACAAAAATTTCAAACGTGTGTGTTTTGAGCTTACTGCTTTAGTTAGCCAATCCCATGGTTACACCTTGTAGATATTAAACCTATAATTAGGTTGTATATCTTTTTATCACTCTCGCGGCTCGACAGAGACAGCGACTATCACAGATTTAAAAAAATTGTTGGCAACATTAGCCTTTGAAAAACATTTGAAAAGCGAAAAAAAATAGTGTAAGAAACATGAAAATAATTTCAAGTAACACTGTGAAATATTTTGCAATTGTATTTTTAACATGTTTTTTTTGTTAACAGAAACTCGGCAAGATCAATTTCGTAGCGACATTCAAGTCTGTGGAACTAAAGGACATCACTGGGGCTGCTAGCGTCGAGGTGTACGAAGGATAAACGACTCTATAGCATAAGGAGGAAGGTGTAATTTCAGATGCATTCGCAATAATATGGTATTACCAGTATGGTAAAAAAAAGTTACCGTTTTAGATTTAACATCTATTTTGGTGTATTGAAAGTTGTATTGAATAACTTTATTACGTCACAAAATATTATTTAGTGTTTTATTAAGTAAGCAAACCAGTGACAAAAAGTAAAATGTAAGATTTATTGTTTGTTATATTTTCAATTTTGAATCTCTTGAAATTGTATGTGCCATAAAATGGTGTTGTTAATATTATAAGTTAAAATCTAAGATACATATTATACAAAATGTTTACAGTCAAAACTAAATATTAAGGTAGCTTTTAGGTCTTTATGTTTAGATATTTTATATCTCCAGTAATAAATATTTTATACTTTTGAAATTGTTATTTATTCTTACACCATTTAAGTAAGTAATAAAACCGAGTTACGACCAATTCAGCTGATGAACAAGAAGCCATATTAATATTAGGGAAATACGACTGTACCCTAAAATGGACCTTTTAAATACTTGTAGGAATCTGAATTTGACATACTTTTAGTGTATCATTTCTCTTATTTAATGTTGGGTTTTGTATTATTAGTGAAAAAGATATTTAAGTAAATATCTTGATCAGATTGGAGGTTAATTAATTAAACGCAGTATTAAAAACAAAACTGTATTATCAATTCCATGCAAAGTTGACCATTTTCGCTTACACCGACCACGACACATGTCTTTTACTTTGTTCTGGACCTACTTATGATACTTTATTAGAAGGAGTTTGTTGCTAGAATTAATTATTACAATAATTAACGAGAAAGAAAGACAATACTCTTTCTCATTTAGTAATTGCATCTACGCTATTCTCGGTGATTTTAAAAAGTCTAGTTATAATGGTGGAATTTGATTTTAAGCTACCGAGACGGTGCCTCTTTGCAGAACGATGTTATTCAAAATCCAAAACTATTAATTTTTTTATGGGGATACATGTTTTAATACGGAACCATAAAAATCTGACCTCGTAACGCCGTTATAAGCCTAGGAGCAGAATATCGATTTTTCGTCGGCCGATAGTTTAGTCGGGCAATTGATCAGTATGGGCATGTATGGAAGTGCGCACATTACATCGATTCGATTTGGCCGATTCTTCATACAATTTAAAACCGGGCACAACTATCGGTCAGCTAAAAATCGGTGGTCTGCGCCTAGTCTAGCGTACATAATTTAATTATTTGTAAACCGTTCTTTCTATTAAAAAGTTTTACCAATCGGTGATGCATTAAGCTGTACCATTTTTCGTCGATATTGGCGCCTTTTACAAATCTTAGAGACGCGGTACCGACATATAAATGTAGAAAACTATCTACTAATTCATTAACACTAGAAGGGCCGAGCTTCATGCTATACCTTCAAAGACCACAGCGGTCAATTTGACGGTACTAGAGATTAAGTGAGAATACTTATGAAATTATTACAGATTTTAAATAAAAAAATTAATACAAATTAATTTTTTAATAGTAGTTAACAATTTAGCATTAAAGTTAGTAACATTTGTAACAAGTAATAGATTTTTAGACTCTTTTGTACATTTCCCACAAACAGCTTTTGTACAGATAGTGCAGTTTTCACATGTTTTATTTTTTTTACAATTACTATTGATTTGACATTGCCGCCTCTTATTGTTTGTAGTACATGGTTCACTTGTTTCAGAATTAGTTTATTGTGTCTGAGTCGCAGTTGAAGTGGATTTTTTTCCCACATACTCTTCACGTAGTTCGCTCACTAGTTGAAGGATAAAATCATGACGAGAAATTTTTATTCCTGTGACTTTTTGATATAGAATCCATGAGTTTATAGCTGCTAAATCAAGTATATTGTAGAAAAACGTGAACATGCCATCTCCGACTTCCAGCTCTTACGGGGTATTTGCGTGCCATTTGATCGATGATGTCTACACCAAATTTTGTTGCATTATAAAATTCAGCTGTTTCAGGCAGCTTTTTTTGATTAGACCTATGCTTACGTTGGGGTGTAGAGTACTCAAAATAATAACAATTTTTACTGGTTTTCCTTGATAGGTAATAGGGTTATAACGGTCTCGGTTTTCATTATGAAAGTTTCATATAGTACGAATACCTCTACAAATCGGTGGTACTTTTCGTCTTGCACGCCGCATTGTTCCAACAATACTAGTATTTTCGACCATTAGTTTTTTATCCAAATTTAGATACGTGAAAAAGTTGTCAGTGGTTACGTTTCGGCCCTTCTGGAAATAGGGTTGTACTAGTTTCAAAACCACATAACCACGACCGGTCACCGAACGAAACCAATGTCTACTGTAAAATGTAAACAAGCCAGGCAGTAACAACTTACTCAGAATTCAATTCAACATAAATAAAAACAAAAGTACTCACATTATTTTGAAGAAATCGTTGTTTACTATTCTTATTGCCGCCTTTATATGTATGCGGTCAAATTGACGGTGCGCGGTCTTAGTAGGTATTGCTCATCGAAACTCATATACAACATACTGTTATTTTATTTTTCATATAGATTTAGCTTAACAATAGCAAATTAGGAAAAGTCATAAAATATGAAAAGAAACAAAAACATAGTTTGTGAAATATTTAACAATGAAATTGCTTTGCCGCCAATTTGACTGCCTTGGTCTTTCTAGTGTTAATCTACCACTACTAATAAAAGTAAATACTTTATGTGACGCAATGATTGTTTTACAACTAAACCGGAGAAGTGTTGTGATCTCGCTCTTTTCAATAGCAAACCAGAGTCAAAATTATGTTTTGTCTCGCTCTACATCCTTCAAAATAAAGTCTCATAACTGAACATCATGCCCACCATAATCCCTGAACCACAATAATGAAGCTTATATTTACAGGTATTCAAAATAAAAATAAACTGGAAAAAACAACAAGCCGTGGCAAATAAACAATCATTTACAATATATCACACATTGATATGAGGCTGTCGACCATTTGGGTGGAAATCTAGATATATTTACATACAGAACTCGTTGTATTACGATTTGACTCCAATGATCTTATTCATAAAGTGCATTTTCTAATAAATAAATCAAATGCATAACGCAGTTTCTTTTGAGACAATACCGCCCGTATTCACAAATGGTGCTTGCTTAAGTGAAGCAGCAAATCGAACGCACAGCGTTGAATAGAGCTCTGTGATTGGTTCGTGTGTCACCCTGTGCGTCCACGCGCACTGTGAGACCTCATATGTTTGTGAATACATTTTGATGCAAAACGCCGCTTGACGTGCAAATGCGTTAGTACTCCTGTTGCTTCTCCAAATGGCGTTACTGTCTTGGTTTTGACTCAACAGTGGCGCCAACTAGTGAGCATAAAATTAAAGTAGTCCTCATACTGATTTAGCAAAAAAGTTGAATTCATATTACTTTGTATTATGAACAGTCGAATAGTTTCTAAAGCCCGGTCTGTGAGCACGTAGAATTTTGTCCAATGACCCCAAGCTACCCATCCTTATCGCTCGCGCGTAATTATATTGCTGTCGCGACTGTGCGACGGGCGCCAGCAGTAAGTGTGCGAGCGCGACATCAACATAATTACGCGCGAGCGATAAGGATGGGTAGCTTGGGGTCATTGGACAAAATTCTACGTGCTCGCAGACCAGACTATAGACCAATAAATGCATTCTAACATAAATTAAGAATTATCACCGAGACAAAATCTTAAGATACCCCCAAATGGACGGCCAGCCGTTTCAATAATAACATAACATTATCGGAAATATGTAACTTCATAAATTCATTCACATTTGTATCAGCAAGGAACTTGTAGGACGGCGAAATAAATAACTGCTTATGAGAAGTGGCCATATTTAATACATAGTTTTAATAGGTAGCCTTACTACTTTAACGTACAGTTAGCCTCAAATAGTTCATGACACCCAAAGTGGCCAAAAAGTTGACAGCATATTAAGCTTATTCCAATTGTAACAATGACGTGTAGCGAACTTTTTGGCTACTGTATTTGACGCTGAAATAATATATTCTTCATTTGTTTTTGGTCGCACATTTATAATATACTCAACATTAAATAAACCGCGCCTTCCGCGACGCGAACTTTAACGATTTTCTTCTGACACAATCATGGTGCCCCAACAATATTGGTGTTATTTGAAAGCCCAATAAATATCCTTAAAGAAAAACACATTTAACTTCTTAATAAATGATTAACATATACCATAAATGTGACTTGAAAAAAGACCTCACTTTGGGCTCACCTCTGGGATCAATTAGACCAAATACAATTTATTGTAACAAAGACGTGTTGCGAACTTTTTGGCTACTGTATTTGATGCTGAAATAATATATTTTTCATTTGGTTTTGGTCGCACCTTCATATTAACTATGCATTATTTGTAAGCTACATGTCTTACATTGCTTAAGAGAAAAAAAACTAAGGAGGCAATATCTGTGTAAGGCTACCTATTGTTTATATCGATTGCCAAGTCCAATGATAAAACAAAAAAAAACGAATAAAACTAGTTCGATTTTTCCAATTACACGAATTTTAAATGCAGTATGCTATAGAAGGCTTTTGGGCAGTGAGAGTAAAAACTTTTTTACGTTCGTTTTAATTTTCTTTTTTTTTCGAACCAGTTTTTTTATTTCCAAATCATTCCCTTTTTGGCATATTGCTTGTTTTCACGTAAAAATTTCAAATATACTGTACATTTTTGATGTTTTATACAACTGTATTCTTAATTTAAATAATACTTATCAACGAGATAGTTTTTCAAATAAGTTTTTCAATAAATAAAATTCATTTCACTGGAAATATTATTGCTTTCACGCAGTTCAGCACTCAATTTGAGTGTGATTTTTATATTAAATGCCGTTTCTAATATTTATTTTTCGGTTCTTGATAACAAATGTATAAAAAATCTTATTATTTCAGACATTACAGTTTCAGTATCAGAGACAACCAGTTTTGACTCAAGCCCATCAAAAAATTTGTATTAGCCTCTAAAACAATAGAATGCTTTAAATACATTTGTTTTCAATAACCGTAAACAAACCGTCCTAAACGAAATTGTTCGATTCTCAACTATAAATTATGACTTTTATATTATATTCACTGCATTTGGACCCCGTGACCACAAGAGTAAATAGATTCTTGTTTATTTGGCATATTAAATACGATAAATGCGAAATTGAAGACATCTGCACAACTTACATTTATAAAGTATTTCAATCAACAACTTTGTACTCAATCTTGCATTGATATCAATGAGAATACACTATACAATTTCACTAAAGCATTCTTGACAAGTTTGCACATTTCGAATTTCTTTAATTTCAAAAACTTCGATAATTTAACACAGTGGACCAACAACTGTTCCCTGAATGCTCCTGTGGCCACAAGGTCGAACGCCTATGCCTAACCTAGTGTACTTTGGCTTTCCCGGTGACCACCTTGGCGTATTCCTCGTAGAACCGCGGGAAAAGCTGGATCGCGAAGTACACCACGCTTAGATATGCGATGATTGCGAGCGTTAGGATCAAGTCGAACACTGCTGGTTTTACGCTGAAAGGCAATTGAAATTTTCGTTTTATTATTGACGTGAAACATAGTTTGTTAATAAAGCTTTATAGACCCGTTTAAATGTTATTCTTGATGTGAATTATGTTAGTTAATTAATAAATCTCTGAAGAATCATTTAAATGATAGTTTTGTCTCTTTTCATTACAGCGAGATCATCAATTGAAAGATAATTTAATAGCTAAAAATTGCGTTGAAGTTTTTGATTAAGGAGGCAAGCAAATAACATTAATTAACAAATAATAAGCGCTACAAATATAAAAAAAACAGAATTTTCGTTTATTTAAATCGAAATTCATGATCATCTTTAGTAATTTTTACGCTTCTCATCTGGCTCTCTGCCGATATAGCTATGTCTCACTCTTGCATTGCTTTACGTTATGCGCGTTTGTCCGAACA